TCTTCCAACACAGATCTGTTTGTTCTTTTGGCAGCCCATGGCACTTTCAATATTCTTTGGTAGAAACCTCTCTTTATATATACATAGGAGTCCTGGTGTGGGCCTGTAAGATAATGCACTGAACCACAAGGTTGCTTTGAACTGCAGGGTCAGTGGTTGAAATTCACTAGTTGCTTCTCGGAAACCCTATACAGGGTCGTTGTAAGTTGGACCAACTCAGTGGTACTTAACGTATATATATAGTTACTGAATCACAGAAATGTGTATTAAACAAGATATCTAAATGTAAAGTTATTGTTTCTTGGCACATCCTTCATCTAGGTCTATCTACTTCTTTCCATTTCTCTAACCCATCTCCAAAGCATTCTGCGTATTTGATTTACACTATCTAAACAGTAGTTTTGGTGACATCAAGGAACTAAAGTCCTGTTCCTTTGAAATGTTCTTAGAGTTTTTGAAACAAAAAGAAATCTGAAGGAGCAAGATCAGGGTTGTAGAGTGGATAGGAGAAGGCTTCCCGACAAAATTCTGATAGGACAGCCATTGCTGCCCTCGAAGAATGACAAGGTGTATTGTTGTGATGGAAAAAAATTCTTCACTACAACTTTCCTGGCCTTCTTTTAACCATTTTATTTTGCAGTTTTCTTAAAACTTCTTTCTGATAAGTCTGCCTTAAAGGTCCTTTGTCTTTCAAGAAAATTTATCAAGATTACCCCTTTGCAATCCCATAAAACAGTTGCCATAGCCATCTGAGTTGACTCTGCCTTGAATTCATCTTTGAGGTCATCTTGACCTTCTTTAAAACATTTGATATGTCTGGATTGTACAGGACAGGTTCCACCCTCATCTGTGGCCATGGGGTGTCAGCGTGGCTGCTTTGCACATCGGTCATGGGGGCCCCTGGCCCAGGCAAGGGCACCTTGTCATTGCACCATCATCAAGCACTTTAATCTGAAGCACCTTGCCAGCCAGGACCTGCTCCAGGACGGCATGCTACATACAGGGCATAGAAATTGGTGTGTTAGCCAGGACTTTCATTGGCCAAGGGAAGTTCATCCCAGATAATGTCATAACCCAGTGAGATGAACTGAAGCAGCTCACCCAGGGTAGCTGGCTACTGGACGCTTTTCCAAGGACAGTTCCACAGGCTGAAGCCCTAGACAGAGTTTATTGGCTTGACACAGTGATTAACCTGAATCTGCCCTTCAAGGTCATTAAGCAGCACCTGACAGCTTGCTGGATCCACCTAGCCAGTGGTCGAGTTTACATCGAATTCAACCCTCCCAATACTGTGGGCCTCATCTTTCTCCTGCGGAACCACTGGTAGATTGTGGGCAAGGAGCTCTGGTAGCATAGTGGTTACGAATTGGGCTGTGAACCTCAAGGTCAGCAGTTCGAAACTACCAGCTATTCCACGGGAGAAAGATGAGGCTTTTTGCTCCCGTAAAGATTTATAGCCTCGGAAACCCTGTATATGGTCACTATGGGTCAGAACTGACTCCACGGCACACAACAACAACAACAAGACTGAGCATGGACGACCTGACCGGGGAGCCTCTGTCCAGTGTGAGGATGTCAGACCCGAGACAGTCATCAAAAGGCTGAAGGCATATGAAGCCCAGATGCAGCTGGTCCTGGAGTATTACCAGAAAAAAGGCATGTTGGAAACATTCTCCAGAACAGACACCAACAAGATCTGGCCCCATGTTTATTCTTTCCTCCAAACAAAATTTCCACAAACCATCCAGAAAACCTCAGTTACTCTGTGAGAAACAACACGGGTGATTTGTGAGCAGGGTGGATCCTCTTCATCCCAGGACACCAGCCTGTATGAAGTTTTCGAAAATTGTAGTTTCATTTCTACTGACTTTATTCTAGATACTAAGGATGTGCCAGATGTGTCAGATAGTAAGATTTGTCTTTTAAAATTATCTAGTGTGTCTCACTTACTCAGTCCTCTTTGTTGGGTGTGCAATTCTAACACATCAGTGATGTCTTACAGAAAAATTTTTTTTTAAAATATAAAATGAAAAGAGCAATTTGTAGTAACAGCATCCAGGAAAAGTAAGTGGTTGATAAGTTTGTGTCTTTTTCTGGAAAAGTTTAAAAAAAAAAAAAAAAGACACAATACTAATGTAGTATTTCATCAGAGGCGGCAAATGCAAGATGATGCCAAAAACACATTTCTAGCACTGTGGTGTGTAGTTTTGTGGTTTCTAAAATTCCAGAGAAAAAAAACTGGACTTACAGATCCATAGCAGAATGCAAGTTCACTGCTGCCTTTAAACTAAGAAACTGACACACTAGCCGTATTTACTCTATTTTGTTGTTAAATATCTGTCCGTTTACTCAGAATTTTCCATTTGCTATAAAAATGTATCACAGCTTGTAGGGCAATATGACTTTACTGACTGCCTTTCTTTTGGAAAATAAATGAAGGGAGAATGATTTGTTTGGAATTTGATATTATAAATTCTTGGAGAAGTACCAACCTTGAATGACTTCTTCAGTGGAAAACGTAGTGTTGGATATCTTCAGATGTTACTCAGGTTAAGAAATGTGTGCTTAGGATATTCTTGCCAGTTCCTTTTTGTGGTTGAAATGTATGATATGCTTTGATGTATTTTAAAAAAGAAAAACAAAAATGATGGCACTACATAAATTAAGCATGCTTGTCATTAGCGAATAGAAATAGATCCAGCATGCCTGGGGAAAACTCCACTGACAGCAATAGCAATCATAATTCGTAAGCATGTGTAGCAATAAAAAGGCTTTACATTCCATTACAAAGAACCAGAAAGTAATTTTGCTGAAGAAGGACTTTCTTAGTCCTGATCAGAGAAGTTGACTTGGGGCAACTTCGTCTCATGTACTTTGGCCATGTTATCAGGAGGGATCATCCCTGGAGAAGAACATCATTCTTGGTAAAAGTGGAGGGGCAGTGAAAAAGAGGAAGACCCTGTATGAAATTGACTGACACGGTGGCTACAACAATGGGCTCAAATATAGCAATGATTGTCAGGATGGCGCAGGACCAGACATTGTTTCCTGTTGTATATGAGACTCGACGAGGTGGGACCAGCACGTTGGCATCTAGCAATAAGAGCGTTTGCTGCCATCCTATCTTATGGGTTCCGAAAGAACTATGCCGAGTGTAATCTGAACAGTTCTTTGAAAGGTATTATGTTAGGTTTCTTGGTGGGGTCATGAGGACATGTGAATGTGTACTGTGGTCTGGTCTGAGTGGGGTGATAACCCTAGCCCTCCTATACCTTATGTGGCATATTTAATCTTTTCAAAATTGGTGGCTGTTGAGTTCAAATAATAGCAACCCTGAGGGACAACGTCCAAGTGCCCCATAGTTTTTCTGTGGATGCCAGTGTCTCCAAAAGTAGACAGCCACAGCTCTCTTCTGAGATGCTTCAAACCACTGACCTTAACACCCCCACGCCACCGGGTCTCCTGCTCTCCCCTCACTTGGTGCTGAATCTAATCAAACGTGTCCCTGTACGAGTGATTTGAAAATTTGGCCTGTTTTTCTCCAGCCACTGAATATACAAATGTTGGCATTTTTTTTTGTCTGGGGAGGGGACTACTTACTTTTCTTTCTTTGATTTTTCATTCATTGTTCTTTCCAAATGGACCAAGTCTTTTTAAAAAGGATTCTGGTAAATGTTTCATTCTTTATAAAACTTTTTATAATGCTTGATTTGAATATTATGTATTTTGCAAACATGGTTCTGGACTACTACTGAAAAAAAAATAAATTGATGTATCTAAAAGCTATTGCTTTATGTGGGGCAGCATTCCTGTTAACTTGTTTCAAAGTTTCAATAATTTTGGACGATATCTACTTGAGTTTAGTTAAAAATTTGATAATTCTGACCTCAAACTCGTTTTTCTCAGTGGCACAAAAAGTATCCTGTTTTTGAAGGCGCACTAACTAATAGATTAAGAAAAGTATATTACTGAGAGAACCTTGTGTACAGCCATCTACTAATTTCAAAGATAAGTGTAAATACATTTTGTTTGGTAAAAACCCATGTATATTTGCATTGGAACTTTAGAAGCAATGCTTTTTGACTTATCCTTATATTGCAGAGCAAAAGCTAATCAGAACATTTCGTCTTTCGGCAGTGTGATGTTATTTCTGAGTATGCTGGTTTTCATTTTTCCTTCTTTAGGGACTGCATGAGCTTTTATTGTCATTTCTATGAGTTTCACATGTACAGGTCAATGACATTAAATGTTTTCATCATGGTGTTCAATCATCACCTTTAACCATAACTGAATTTTTCCTTCAACCTTAACAGAAGCTCCCCTCATCATTGCACCTGGCTTTTTCTCCTCCCTTCTGCCTGCCCCTGCAGCTTAATTTTTTGTCTTGTTATTTTCTTTTTGTTTTTTAGGTCCCTGGTTTGATATGTACTTAGCTTCTCGAGACTCCATTGTTCTGAACTTTAATCCATTTATGGCATTCAATCCTGACCCAAAGTCTGAGTATAATGACCAGCTCACACGGGCGACCAACATGACTGTATCTGCTCTCCGGTTTCTGAAGACACTTCGGGCTGGCCTTCTGGAGCCAGAAGTCTTCCACTTGAACCCTGCCAAAAGTGACACGGACACCTTCAAGAGGCTCATCCGCTTTGTGCCTCCCTCTCTGTCCTGGTATGGTGCCTACTTGGTCAATGCCTATCCCCTGGACATGTCCCAGTATTTTCGGCTTTTCAATTCAACTCGTATACCCAAACCTGGTCGGGATGAGCTGTTCACTGATGACAAAGCCAGACACCTCCTGGTCTTAAGAAAAGGACACTTCTATATCTTTGATGTCCTGGATAGAGATGGGAACATTGTGAGTGCGTCAGAAATCAAGGCTCATCTGAAGTACATTCTCTCAGACAGTAGTCCTGCCCCCGAGTTTCCCCTGGCCTATCTGGGCAGTGAGAACCGCGACGTCTGGGCAGAGCTCAGGCAGAAACTGGTCAGTGACGGCAATGCAGAGACCCTGAGGAAAGTGGACTCTGCTGTGTTCTGCCTGTGTCTAGATGACTTCCCCATCAAGGATCTTGTCCACTTGTCCCACAGCATGTTGCATGGTGATGGCACAAACTGTTGGTTTGATAAATCCTTTAACCTCATTGTAGCCAAGGATGGCACCGCCGCTGTCCACTTTGAGCATGCTTGGGGCGATGGTGTCGCCGTGCTCAGGTTTTTAAATGAGGTATTCAAAGACAGCACTCAGACCCCCGCCATCACTCCACAGAGCCAGCCAGCCACCATTGACTCTTCAGGTGCTGTGCAGAAACTTACCTTCCAGCTGAACGATGCGTTGAAGACTGGCATCACCACTGCTAAGAGAAAGTTCGATGAAACCATGAAAACCCTCACCATTGACTGCTTCCAGTTCCAGAGAGGAGGGAAGGAGTTCCTGAAGAAGCAGAAGCTGAGCCCTGACGCGGTGGCCCAGCTGGCCTTCCAGATGGCCTTCCTGCGGCAGTACGGGCAGACCGTGGCCACCTACGAGTCCTGCAGCACTGCAGCGTTCAAGCACGGCCGTACCGAGACCATCCGCCCAGCCTCCATCTTCACTAAGAAGTGCTCCGAGGCCTTCCTCAGAGAACCCTCCAAGCACAGTGCTGGGGAGCTTCAGCAGCTGATGGCTGAGTGCTCCAAGTACCACGGCCAGCTGACCAAAGAAGCTGCTATGGGTGAGGCAGGGCTGGAGAGCATGCTCTTGGGTCTGCTTGTCCTCAGTGCTCAGGGAAGCCTCCCACATCCAGTTTCTACCTCTTCACTAGCTCTAAGCCATGTTCCAACTCCCAAAAAGATTGTTCTTTCCACCCTAGCAATAGGCTAACTAGCCTCTTAGGAGGAGACACTTTTGCCCTCTCTTCCCAACCAGTGATGAAGAACTGCAGGTGTTATCACCCTAACTAAGGACACATTCAGCTATAACACACAGTTCTTGTTCTGTCACTGACATTAGAATCGCTTTTCAAAACATAGGACTTCTCAGCCTGGAGCCCCTTTTACTCCAGCTAAGTTTGTCGTGTGTTAGCTTTCTGGAGATATGTTATCCCAAAAACTCTTCCCAGACCTAAGTGGCTTCCTTCTTGGCCTTTTTGTAATAAAATTTGAGACCTGGAAAGACCCCTGAGGATCACATAGTTCAATCTTTCCATGTGCCTATAAATTCCTGAAGCTAAAAGGCATGTCCAAGGCATCTCAGTCCCGTTCTGCATTTCACAGGTAGGAAACAGGCCCCTGACCCAGTAGTGGTACATAGCCAGCTACAGCAAGGCGGAGATTAGATCCCTGGTCAATTGCCCTGCCTATTGCCACTTGCTCAGTCTTGTTGGTTTTTTTTTTTTACTAGACTTGCACTTTAGGTTTTATCTGTTTTGAAGTTTGTAGCATTCTTCCTCTTTTTTTTTCCAAAGGGGAAAAAAAATGTATGATTTATTTTTCATCAGTCTGTTAAGCTATATTTCTAATGATATTTGATCAATGATAACCAGTATGGGAATGTTGTTGTTGTTGTTAGGTGCCATCGAGTCAGTACCGACTCACAGTGACCCATGCACAACAGAACAAAACACTGCCCGATTCTGGGCCAACTTCACAATTGTTGCCACGCTTGAGCCCATTGATGCTGCCACTTTGCTGGTCCATCGTGCTGGGGTTCTTCCTCTATTTCTCTGACCCACTACCTTACCAAACATGATATCCTTCTCCAGAGACTGGTCCCTCCTGACAATATGTCCAAAGTATGAGAGACAAAGTTGGGCAACCTAGCCTCCAAGGAGCACTCTGGCTGCACATCTTCCAACATGGATCTCTTGGTTCTTTTGGCACCCCATGGCACTTTCAAGATTCTCCTCCAGCACCATAACTCAAAAGCATCAATTCTTCTACAGTCTTCCTTATTCACTGTCCAGCTTTCGCATGTATATGTGGCTATTGAAAATACCATGGCTAGAGTCAGGTGCACCTTAATCTTCAAGCTGACATCTTTGCTTATCAACACTTCAAAAAGGTCTTGTGCAGCAGATTTGCCTAATGCAATATGTTGTTTGATTTTGACTGCTCCTTCCGTGAGTGTTGATAGTTGATCCAAGAAAAATGAATGAAGCCCTTGACAACTTCAGTCTTTTCTCCATTGATAAGAATGTTGTTTATTGGTCCAGTGGTGAGGATTTTTGTTTTCTTTACAGTGAAATGCAATCCATACTGAAGGCTGTGCTCTTTGATCTTCATCAGTAAATATTTTAAGTCCTCTTCATTTTCAGCAAAGGTTGTATCATCTGCATATTGCAGGTTGTTAATGAGTCTTCCTTCAATCTTGATGCCACGTTTTTCTTCATAGAACCCAGCTTCTCGTATTATTTGCTCAGCATACAGTTTGAATAACTATGGTGAAAGAATACAAACCTGGTGCACACCTTTCTTAATTTTAAACCATTCAGTATTCCCATGTTCTGTTAAAAAAAAAAACTGCCTCTTTTTTTCTTAACGTTTTATTGTGAATTATGTGATAATTTACATGGGAGAACATTAGTTTTACATTCATCCTATATCATATATCCTTTCATTGCTATGGTTACAATCACCTCCATGAATCATCAACCAAAGGGTATACACTACAAGGCTGCCCCCTGGTCATCAGCACACAGCCCCTCTCCCTCTCTGTGTCTAACAAACAGCTGCCTCTTGGTCCATGTCCAGATTCCTCATGAGCACAATTAAGTGTTCCGGAATAATCATTGTCCATAATGTTGCCCATAGCTTGTCATGATCCACACAATCAAAAACCTTTGCGTAGTCAATAGAACACAGGTGAACATCTTTCTGGTTTTATCTACTTTCAGTCAAGAACCATAGGACATCAGCAATGATATCCCTCGTTCCACAGCCTCTTCTAAATCCAGATTGAGTGTCTGGAAGTTCTCTGTCAATG